CCGTGCTGGATTCGGAACGGCCCGTTCCGGATCCGAACGTTATGTTCAGATTATACACCCTGGAACGACCCGTACGTTCTGAAAACGAAACGGCCCGTTCCATAGTAGAAATTAACACATATTTGTCCTTTCTAGAACGGCCCGTTCCAAATTTGACTTGTTTGGAACGACCCGTTCTGGTATTGGAACGACCCGTTCCGGTATTGGATTTTTAGTCGTTTTAGTCACGTTGGAACGACCCGTTTTGATATTGGAACGGCCCGTTCCGAGGTTCGGAACGGCCCGTTCCGATTCTAGAACAGCCCGTTCCGGGCTACTAAAACAACCTTATTTGACCTTTAGGCCTTCTGATATCCTGTCTTGTTATTTGCCTGCTTCGGGAGCTCCTTTCCTTCATGATGTAGGTCCATTTTCTTGTTTGTGTGCCTCCCGGACGAAATTGGGTGTCTAGAGTGACACACAAAATATGTTGTTAAATCTCATTCAAAATCAACACTAAAATTATATGTAGCTATATGTCAAATAGGTATATACCTACATATACTATAGATATAGTGACACTTTTTGTATGTCACTAAATGGAACAATTTTTAGTGCTTCCGAGTATTTAAATCTAATTGATGTATAAATAAATTAAACAAAAATTTTAATGTTAAATTAATAACATTGCTAAAAAATCAAGTGATATATAAGTAGTCTCTCAATTTATTTTAACTCATCAATTCCATATAATAAGTAATTGGCATTGAAATGAATGACTAAATTAATGATGATTATTCAAATATCCATAAGATTGTTTGGAGAGTGAATCCAGTTCAGCATAACTAGTTTTAGAATACAATTTTTATACAAATTAGGAATAATATTCACTATAGAAAGTATAGAGGGTTTGCAATGCTCAATCCTTCTACTTGTTCACAAGAGACACTATTTTTATTTTACCAATCATCTTGTGTATATAAATATATTAATTATGTGTGCATGTATAGTAAATTATCATAATAAATATATACACATTGGGAAATTAGTTTCTATGGTCACTTTCTCTCCTCCTTACATGCATTTGAGATGAACCTTAAATCCAGCCCCTTTGCTGGCCTTCTTTTATGTATCTCCCAAACTAAATCCCCGCCGCAATCTCTTATCAAACGACAAATAGTTAAGACTAGCTAATGTTATATATATCCAAGTGTTGTGCAGAGAATTAATGTGTGGAGCGAAAGATCTATGAATTGTTTTTTTTTGGAGACTCTTTCTCAACAACAATAAGGAACAAAACGGAAAGAAAAAAAAATCCTATCTACCACCAATACAACAGCAAACGCTTTCCCAGACAACATTGCAAAACTAGCTTATACGAATAATATATTGTCCTTTGTGATTGCCTATTTCCACATACAAGTAATAAAGTTGGTTAAAATATTTTTCCAAACATAAAAAATTTCATTTTGGTATCTGTACCGTGGTGGTCTCCCATTGGCCGACCATATTGGCCGACCATAGGCAGGTCGGTAAAATGCCGATCACACATGAGGGACCCAAATATGGGGAGATTAACTGGCTCACTCGGACAATCAATAAGATCCCACGATCCGTGGGAACGGTAATAAATACCGGGAGTTACGAGTCCATAATGGGGCGTGATTTATGGGATCATAAGTGCGATTCATGTCTAGAACGCTACACCGTTATATATAGCAATGATTAGGTCTAAGGCGGCAGGTTATCCTCATCGAATATTCTAGGTCAAGACTGCTGCCAAGCTCTTTTAGCTCGGCTTCGCTAAGGGTTCTTCGGCGGCGGTCTCCAATACCGGAACAGTATCTTTTATCTTTGGCAGGTAAAACTGCGTCCCATACCTTGGTTGCCTTGTGTGATCGGAAGGTCACGATGCATAGGTTACAAAGGAGTAATAAAAAAGATTTTTAGTGGGTGTATTGGTAGTGCTGTAACCCTCGTCCAACACCAAGTTAACTCCACTCACGAACTGGGCCTCGTCGCTGCACAAATAAAGCGACGCACGCGCTGTGTCTTCCACCTCAAGAACACTCCCTTTCAACACCTCAATCTTGCGCAACCCTTCCTGCGTCTCCTTCTTGTTCATCTTCAGCGCCTTGTTCAGCATCGGAGTGGGAACGCCACCTGGACAAACGCAATTCACTCTGATCCCATGCTCCCCCAGTTCCACGCACAGGTTCTTCATCAGCCCCACCACCGCGTGCTTCGAAGTCGCGTAAGCGTGCGTCGTCTCGCCCCCCAGGATCGAGGCAATGCTCGAAGTGAAAAGAATCACCCCACTCTTCGCCGGGATCATAACCCTTGCAATACGATTCAACCAAACTTTAATTCACCGTCTATTTTCCTTAGCTTACCACTACCTGACGCTGACATATCTATTCCAGACATGTCATATTGATACGGCTCTTTGCTAATGATCCACACCGAATGAATCGCGTTCGATTTTCGTTCCAAGAAAGCAAAATCGCGTTCGGAAAATTACTCTGCGTCGTGTTTCGAAATAACAGCTATCTTTGTCTTTGAAAAACAGGAACAGGTAATGGAGAATGCGTGGAGCAACGGCAAGGTGAAGGTCCCGAAGCCGAGGACTTTGAACGAAAACGTTCCTCCGTTGCAAATCGACATGGACGACAAAAGAGGACGCTATCTCCAACCAAACACGATGAATCCGCGGTATCAACCGTACGCCACCGAGAACATCGACATCGGCTCGCCGCTCGCGCGCTAACAAGTATGTATCCAAGACTCTGCGCACTGGTTTACTTTCTTTCTATTTAAAAATTCGTTAGATTTATTGGATTTGAAAAACAACATAAAACACATTGCATACGTCGAATTAAGTGCTCACCACGAATAATCAAAAAAAAAAAAAAATCAAATTAAAGCTTATATATGGATTGCATATCAAATAAACGAATCATAAGTGAGAGATGTTAGCTCAATGAAAGCAATTAAGAGATTAGATTATTATACAATTAGGTTGCTTTATATTATGTTTGGCCCTACATGTCCTGCATACAATGTGTTGTAAGCTTGTGGCACAGTTTTAGAAGCAAGCATATGATGTCTGGTTATGAGTATTGTGGCATGTTCAAATCATAAATGCCAATCATTGTATAAATCCCCGTGTAAAGGTGTTTTCCGAGCACCTAGACCCCACATAATGCACCCTCAGAAAATGCATTGTGCAATGCATCGGAATTTTCTACAATCTACACGGTCGGACTTTCTACGAACTACAGCTTGGCGTGAAAAACGCTTTAAGGTCGGCATTTCTACAATCTACACGGTCGGACTTTCTACGAACTACACCTTAGCGTGATAAACGCTTTAAGGTCGGCATTTCTACAGTCTACACGGTCGGACTTTCTACGAACTACACCTTGGCGTGAAAAACGCTTTAAGGTCGACATTTCTACAATCCACACGGTCGGACTTTCTACGAACTACACCTTAGCGTGAAAAAATTTATGTCTATTAATGAGATGTATTGGTGATTGTCTTTTTTTTTTTAAGCAAAATTGAATTAAATAAGAGGGAATACAAGGGGTACTTCAACCCATGTACACAATATAACCAAAGTAAGTAGTGGATCTCTGACATCAAGAGATATTTAAAGAAAATAACATAATAAATACATACCTCCTAAAACCAATTTGCAATCATCATATAATAAAAAACCTTACACCAATAGGTGGAACAACCAAACTAGCAATCCAAAAAAAGACTATCAACTACAAAGTGAAACCAATCACCATTTTCAAAAGCATTGCTGCAACTTAGTTAGAATTACACAGTCAGATAGCAATAATCACCATCAAATATCACAATAAAAATTAAGGCATACGAAAGGTGACTCAGCCCAAGAAGAAAATGAGTATGAAAAATAATTATCTCTCGCTTTTAACTATTTTCAAGTGCGCAGTTTTACCATTTCAAGCATATCTAAAGTAGATAGCACCTTGTCAGGAAAAATAAGAACATTTCTTGCTAGTCAAATACTCCAAATTACAGTCAACCAGATCACATGTCATATATACCTCATTTTAGAAGGACAAAGAGGCAACTCAAGAAATTGATCAAAATGAGCAATAAAACTATTGGACAACACAAAAGTGAAACCACACCATTCCAAGAAAAACAGCCAAACATGATATGTAAAAGAGCACTCAAAGAATAGGTGTGAAGAAGTCTTCATCCTATATTGACACCTACTTGGTGATTGTCTTATGCATGATCAAAAGCATTGCTGCAACTTAGTTAGAATTACACAGTCAGATAGCAATAATCACCATCAAATATCACAATAAAAATTAAGGCATACGAAAGGTGACTCAGCCCAAGAAGAAAATGAGTATGAAAAATAATTATCTCTCGCTTTTAACTATTTTCAAGTGCGCAGTTTTACCATTTCAAGCATATCTTTTATCTTTAGTAATTCATTTTACTCATTTAACTTCTAAATTTAACTTAACCATTTCAAAACAAGTATCATTCGCAATTAATTTGAAAAATATATTGATAAATAATAAAAAAATTAATTAAAATAAATTGATAGATAATTCAAAAGTTATATTTTTTAATATATTGATCTTGCATTCGGTGTGAGCAAGATGGAGGTCCGTTATTAAAGTTACATTCGACACCTTAAAGATGTATTCAACGTAATGGAATACACAACACCCTTCCCCCTAAAAAATAGAAAATTCTTGCATGTATTGCAACATTCTATATGCATACATCTTCCACAACACATTTTTAGTACAAGATAGTACATGTAACAAGACCTATGGTAGAATCATCAAGATCTCTTCAAAATGTTTCAAGCATTCAAAACTCCACATTCATACAATCTAAAAATTTAACTTACACAATCATATCTTGATAGCAATCAAGGGGCAAACAACTCATACATCTCAACCAAAATAAGGTTCTAGCTTCCTTTACCCAAAAAATCTCCAAACTGGGAAGAAGAGGAGGAAGGAAGAAAACAAACTTCGAGCTAACAACGAAGCCCTACACAAGCTCGATTCTCGGTCTCAACAACTTCGGATCACTACACCAAAGATCAACAAGAACCTCCTAAGCCTTCAAGAAAGTTTAGAAAGGAGGAAAGCTTTAGGGTTCCAGAGTGCTACTCTCTAACTTATCATCCTAAGATTCTTAAAAATTGAACTTATGAAACTCACTTCTAAAAAAAAATCTTATATATTCCTTCTTCCAAGGTCAAACTAAATATTTGCCTAAAAAAACTCTCTAAACACCCAAAAAAATTTTAAGAGTTCTTTAACACCCAAAGTCCTTCAACAATATAAACTTCAAAACAACATACACCATATATAATTATTAGTAGAAAAACAATAATTAACAAAAAAGGCATAGTGTTAGATAGTACTTTCTCGAAGATTTAATAATGTTCGAGTAAGGTAGAATAGTTGTAAGTAACAAAACTTTCCATCTAACCCAACACTCAAATTCCATACAATTAAGCATCATCAATCCTTTATCACATGCTTGGTAGTACATAAAAGTTATATTTAAGATAGTTTCAAATTGATTTCCGGTGTAAAATTCTGAGTATGTGAATGGATGCAGGTAAGGACGGTTCCTTTCATTTTCAATGAATAACGCATCTCATTTATGGCGAATTAATACATGGCATAGAGAGATTGAAAAAATAAAAAAGGGAAAATGCTGATAGATGATAGGAATATAATGGGATGAGATAATTAAATTGAAATAAAATAAAAATAACATTATTACTGTTTAAACATTTTATATAACAACACCAAAAACTCTTAAAATTTTGAGACTTCCATATAGAATTTGTCTCATCATGAACTAATCCAGTGGACAGAACAAGAAAAAAGGGAAGCAAGACACTAACCTTATCTTCGTCTCTTCCAATTAATAAAACATCCACTTTTATAAATCGGCCATACTAAACTACGCACCCTACTTGATGAACCATAATAATAATTAAAAAAAAAACGAAAGAACCAACAAAAATTAAAGAGAGACATTGATAGCAAGGTTTATTCCGAATGACATTGATCAAGCCCGCGATATCTCCCCTTCACTCCTCTTATTCTTTCCACGATTTTTCTTCCATCTAAAAGCCTTCTTAATCTTCTCCACAACCTTCTTGAACATCACACTCCCTTTATTGCCTTTCCATTTTCCACTCTTGATATCTTCATATTCCTCCACTTGCACTAAGTTTTGGGACACCTCCCACTTCCAATCCGGGTCCACAACAGAAGCACCGTTCTCTCGAAACGCTTGAACAAGGCGAGGCACAACCCCCATCATCGCCTCTCTAAACCCCTGCGACACTTCAATCTTCGACATCTTGGAACTCTTCGAACTCGAACTCAAATCCGAACCCGACACGCACCCGAAGTAGCCAACCCTCACGCGCCCGTTCATGTACTCGTCGCACGCTTCCATAATCGAGCCCGCACGCTGGCGAAAAAAAGCACTCACGAAATCCTCGAAGTTCCTGGGCGGCTTCCGAAGGAGGTGAGAAGCGATGTCAAGAGTGAAGACAAAGGCGTTGTCGCTGTAGGCACGTGACCTAGTCTCGACGTCGAAAACAAAACGACCGAACGACTCAATCCCAGGCTCGTTATAAAACGGTTTCTCGTTCAGAACGAGTCCCTGGATCGAGAGCAACACCTGAAGAATCGTGGACTCGCAGGGGTCCCACAGCTCCCTCTTCCTCCCGTGCCACGTGTTCAGCAAACTCAGACACACTTTCCCCGTGTTGTACAGGTTCGGGTTGATCCGGTGCCCGAACGAGCGGAAATTCAACTTGGGAGGGTGCTTCGGGTAATCCGAGGGGAACGCGATGTCGAAGAAAAAGAGACCATCGTGGTACGGTGTGCCCGCGGCGCCCACGATCACGGCCCTCATTAAATCAATGCGTTGCTCGTAGACACGCACGTAGATTGATTCGGGTAGGCTTTGTTCGAGAATCTTCCACTCTTTCATGATGGTGCGGTAAACTTCGCCCTTTGTGTTGTTGATGCATTGTCCGTCGTTTAAACCGAGAAAGTCGTGATCTGAGTCGTCCGTGACGACGTCGAAGTTGGCGAATTCGCTGCCACTGTTCATGTGGTTTGAATGCGGGAGAGAGAACTGAGCAAGAGGCTAGGCTAGGGTTGGAAGCTGTGACTTTAGGTTTTCTAATCTATATCAAACTCTTGTAAGGTGTGATTTTAAAAGCAGAATATTTAACAAACAAAATAGAGTAACATTCCACAATCCAGATATCTAGAAAGGACTCCAAAGATTCTATTTGTTATAACAGAACCAATATACGTCGTTGCTGATTTTGTCAAAAAGAAAAAATATAGATTGCTGAAATATAGGTTCCTCATTTAATAATAATAATAATAATAATAATAATAATATATGACAATTCCTTTTGTACAATTCCTATTTGGAGAAAAACTTTACATTAATTACATGTCTTTCACTTATTTCTTTTATTCTCTCTCATAAAAATATTTTTTTTTCTTGTTCTCTTTAACTTTGACGATTTTTAGAAGAAGATTTCAACTTAGATATGAATTTCATTCTTCATTTTTTTATTCATAGAAATCATTTCACCATTCTCTCTCATAAAAGTACCTAGAAGACAAACAATCAATTTCGTCTTCTTTGAAGAGTCATCTTTTTTACCGCTTATAAGACAAATCGTGTTAATTAGCATCTATGAAATTATCATTCTCACAATTTCAGTTACTTCATCCTCTTCATGTTTATGATAACTTCATCTTCTTTACATTTTTCATAAGATCTTCACATTTTTGGGTAACTTCATCTTCTTTGCAAATTTGGTAACTTAATTATCTTCGCGTTTTTGGTATATTCATCCCTTTTGCTAAATGAACTTACTTATAGGGCTTAAGATTTATCATACTTCAATGAATATAAAAATGAACACTTTACATGTTACTCTAATGAATAAAACAAATGAAGAACGAAATTCGAATCTGAATTGAAATCTTCTATTGAAAATTATTGAAATTAGAAAGAACAAGAGAAAGAAATGTTTTTTGAGAGAGAATGGAACTGAAAGGTCAAAAACATGTAAGTAATGTGAAACTATTCTCCAAAATGTAATAAATTAATGAGGAGTTAACCTGCAAAAATTAAAATTTGCTTATAAAATAATAAGTCTGATAAAAATCACACATAACATTATTTAAATGATCCTAGTTAAAAGATGTATTAGTACCCTCTAAATAGAACTTACACCAAAGAAATTGTCATAATATATATTCAAAATTATTACGAGACATAATGGAACAATATGTCAAAACTGAGGGTTAAAGAGTAATTTATACTTACATGTTTCGAGACAGGTTATTATGATGATTTTTTTTTGGTAAGCCAAAGCTAAGAAAACAAACAGAAAAAAAAATGAAGATTACATCCTACGGAACACTGTTCCAGCTGCATCCGCCGTCACAAACGGGTGTAAACCCTCAGGTATGGTATCCAAAACTACTAGGTCAACACCACAATGTGGCCCTAATTTCGACAAAAAATCTGCACTTTGGTTTCCTTCTCGAAAAGAATGGCAAACACAAACACTCCAAGATTGTTGCAGTAACTCCTTAATGTGAGCAATGATAGGAGCATACTTATGCAACACATCCAATGGTCCCAACACCAAATTGACTGCCAGCAACGAATCAGAAACACAAAGTATATTGCGAAAGTTAGCTCTCCACGCCAACTTCATACCATGTAGGATAGCTAATAACTCTGCTTTGAGATTGTCCCCAACTCCAGCATCCCCATAAAAACCCATAAGCCAACGACCAAAGTTGTCTCTACATAAACCTCCATAACCCGCTGGACCCGGGCTACCAAGCGCACTGCCATCCACATGCACCGTGACTTGCCCTTGGCTAGCTTGTAAGCATGTAACGTGACGCTCCTGTCGAGCCACCCTCTCCTGTGGTCCCCATAACGTTCTAAACAGAGATGACATAGCCTAAATACGACCAACCAAAACATGAGGGGGGATATTATACCCGAAAAAACTCGACGGTTGCGTTCCAGCCAAAGTTCCCATAATAAGCTAACAAGCATGACCCCGTACTCGTCAATGTTAGCCTTCAACCATAAGAACCAATTGATTGTACTCCATTGTGGTAGAACCAAACGAGGGAACACAGACTGCCATAGCGACACAGTTACATCACAACCAAAGAAAATATGAAATGCATCCTCAACTGTTTGATGACAACATTGACACAAGGTGTCTAAACCCATGTGACGTGAGACGAGAAACTGAGCAGAAGGGATGCACTCATGGGCTAGCTGCCACAAAAAGAATTTTAGATTCTCTGGTATCTTGAGCCGCCAAATCCAACCCCACACCGAGTCAAGGATGCCATCCTCCCGTGCCAATAGCCACTTATACCCCTCATAAGCCGTATATCTCCCTGACAGTGCTCCGTTCCAGACCCAAACATCCGGTAAGGAATGATGAAGGGTCATGCTAAGCCCTTCAATACGTTGACGTAAAGTATCAGGGATAGGGGTATGAAGAATGTCCAAGTTCCACTTCCCCTGTTGTAATACCTCACATACCTGAAGATTCACATCTCGAAAATGCACATAAGGGACATCTAAACAAAGCGCCGAGTTGCCCAACCAAACATCATACCAGAACCGTACGTGTCCGGCACCCAAGTTGTAGTTGAAAACCATCATGCAATTGAGTATAGGTCTTGGCTAAAGCACTCCAAAAATTTGAACCTTTCACATCTAGGCGATGTTGTAACGTAGCACCAGGGTATTTATTTAGAACGAACTGCACCCATATCTTGTCCTCACGATGACCCACATCCCATAATAACTTTCCCAGAAGAGCTATGTTTTGTAAACGAGCAATCCGGACACTTAGACCACCATGCCGTCGTGCTCTCGTAACTATATCCCAACGTGCAAGGTGGAGCTTACGTGTACCATCCCCACTCCAGATAAACTGACGTGCCTCCCTATCAAGCGCATCACAAATTGTTTGCGGCAACCACTGAAACTGCATTGTATAAGAAGGAATAGCAGCCACAACGGAATTAACCAATGTTACCCTACCAGCTCGATTTAACAGTTTTCCCCTCCAAGAAGCTAGTCGTTGTGATACCTTGTCGATAATGTAATCAAAATGAGCCGATGTCACCCTACCATGCACCATGCGAAAGCCCAAATACCTTCCTAGGTTATTATGATGATTTGATAACAAAGTTAATATAGATTACTAAATAAAGCAAAACTAATTATAATTGTTATGATGGTATTTTTTTTTAAGTGTTAAGATGGTTTTTTTTTTTTGTAAAGATAGGAAAGATTACAAAGATGGTCGCAAAGAGGATTGAACGTAGATCCTCATGCTTCTAATTACCCCAACCCCTCCCCACCAAGATGATTTGATAACAAAGTTAATATAGATTACTAAATAAAGCAAAACTCATTATGATTGTTATGATGGTATTTTTTTTTAAGTATTAAGATGGTTTTTTTTTTTTTGTAAAGATAAGAAAGATTACAAAGATGGTCGCAATGAAGATTGAACATAGGTCCTTATACTTCTAACTACCCCAACCTCTCCCCACTCAACCACTAGACTAACCCTAGTAGTTAAGTGTTAAGATGGTTTGATTGCAAAGATAATATTCAAAATTTATTTAATTATTTTGATATCATATTTTAGCGACGATTTTATGTATTTAAATGTCATAATATTTTTTAAAAAAAAATTTGTTTGTTAAAAAAATATAACAAATTCAATCATTTAAAACGTGTATCATTAAAATTAATTTAGTGATGGAAGTAAAAGTAGCATGCACAACAACCTATATTCAAATATTTAATGACATTATGAAATTGAAAAAAAAATTAAAATATAATATTTATAAGAAAAAACTATCCTCACAATTAAAGAGAATATATATATATATAAAAAGATAAATAAAACTTAAATTTCATTATTTTGATAAGTAAATTTTAGATATAAAAATTATTCTAATTATTCCAAATTGAAATATGATATATCTTAAAAATATTAAATCCTTGTTAATTAAATCCCCAAAATATGTAATTTCTACTAATAAAAAAATTAAAACCTTTAAAATTAGGGATGACAACATGGTGGATAGTAGCTACTTGTCACCTATCTCATTTAATGTGAGATATCTACATAGTACCAATGGATATTTAAGAAAATATAAAATTTTAAATAAAAAATAAGGAATAAAATAAAAAATAATTTTAAAACGTATAATTATATCAAAAGATAATTTTGTAATATATATTTCTACTAAAATAAATAATTATGACAAATATATTTAATTTAAAAAAAAAACTTTAAATATAATTAATAGTGTGTTCGGATGAAGAATTTAAATAGAATAATCCATTTTTTTTAAGAATTTCAAATGTGAAATATTTTGTTGAGATGAATAATTTGTAATCTTAATATTTGTAAAATCTTTTAAAATAGTAGAAGTTCAAATTCTCCTTTTTTTTTAATAGTAAAATTTTAATATATAAATATATATTATTTATATATATATAAATATTTCAAACATATAAATTATATTTTATATTTATAAAAATAATTTATATTGTGAGATAGAATTATTATTTTTTAATATAAAATAGAAGGCGGAAAAAGCTCTGTAACGTTCTCCAAAACCACCAGATGGAGAGAGAAAACATGATAATGACAAGTTCAACTTTGTGCCTTCTAGATAAAATCATAGCGACACAAAAAAGTTTTTCATTCCATGCATAACAAAGGAAAGATGGATAGCTATTAAATTAGATCTTGAAAAAATCTATGATAGGCTTCAATGGGTCTTTGTTAAAGACACTTCAGAGGATTGAGTTTCCTCCTAACCTTTTTAACTGCATTTCTTATTTTACCATGAGGTTGTTATGGAACGGTGTTACTATGAAAGTTGTTCTTTATGTTACAAAGTTGGAAAGAATGGCTTAAGTTTAATCTAAATAGCAAAACCGTATTTGTTTTGGAGGGCAGAGAGTGGAGCTTAGTGTTTGGGATTATTTTGGATATAATTTGATGGCATAGGAATGAAGTAATACATGTTTGAGTATCAATTTAAAATTAAACGGAATAACACTCGTTCTAATAATAAAAAAAAAGTTTTGTAAGTGTAATTTTTTTTTCAACATGGGTTAAGTTAAACTCAACTGATTTCTAAACAGACCTCTAATTTTTAGACCTGTGTTTTGGCATGCATAAGAAGTGATTAAGATTTCTTATACATGAAGTTACAAGACGTTTAATTGTAAATGATATAAGGTGGATTCCACCCAAACCAGAGAAATCAAAATGCATTTATATGAATTTTCCCTTTTGCTTTTCACCCTTGTTAGGCTTTTAACAATACCGAGAACTTGGTTTAAAATGACAAGAGCAACGATATTCTAAGCATTACTAAACTTTACATTCTTTAAAGTATTAGAACATGTGTGTGAGTTTTGTGCAATCGCAATACTCTATAGCCATTAAACACGAACAACCAACCAACCTTTTATTGCTTCATGCTTCTCTCCTACGATATCAACATGATAATGATGGATCTACATTATAGCGAGAATAATAGATACTCTTTTATTGCTTCATGCTTCTATGTTAACACACAACGATCAAATACTTTGAGTTTGAACTCGAGTCTTGATGAACTTGAGGTTGGCCTATGAATTAAGTATTCGACCTAGAGTCCGAGCTCGAGCCATGATGGACCCAAGATCAACCAACGAAATAGGTATTCAAAGTTCAGACTGTGATGACCTGAGGTCGTCCTAAGAGCTCAGGATAGCCCAGGTGACTAATAAATTTTCCATATTTAAAAGCGTTAATAACATACTTATAAGTCAACAAAAACCAGAAATAATTTATAAAATTTCTTTTCATAACAAGGAACCGCTATCATTTATATAATTCATTATTAAAAACCAATGTCTGGATTTTGTATGGATTAATGCTCGTAACTCCTCAAACTTGGGAAGAAAACATGTACATATTTACAGCATGAGAGATCAGTGTAATAAAGAACCTACAGTTTGGACTGTTTCTTGGAACCTCGACCAGCTATGAATTCCTGCATCTTCCTGAATTGTTCCTTTGTCATTCCATTATAATAATCATGAGCCCTTTCCTAAAAGTTTATACACAGGTAGAGAATTTGTACGTAAGATGATTTGGAGTGAACAACTCAAAGGCTACAGATACATAAATGAGAAGTAAGACTGCCAAAACCCTATCAAGGATTACTGAGACAAGAATGAAATGGATAATACAGAGTGACAGACACAATAAGAAAAGAAATAGTGGCAAAGAGACAGTAAAGAAAAAAAAAATCAGTGTAACACTAAGCCATTCTCTATTCTTTTTCCAATAATTACGAAATATAGAGTATAGTAACCTCTGGTTGATGAAACCCTGAACTGCATTTCATTAATCAAATTAATCCCAATGATACAGCAAACTAATTTAACTTATTAGGATACAACTTCAGAAACGAACTTGAACAACTAAATACTTATTCAAGATCAAGAACAACATCTCCATCATTAAGGGAACTAATTCGATTAACATTGTATCTCACCGAGGCTATTCATTCTAATTCTAACAAGTAGATCCTATCTTTTCCCTTATATATAAGAAAAAAAATATAAGAAACAAATACCTAATATGTAGTCCCCATGATTGGCCTCCGAGCCATCACCACGAGGTTAACCTCTTAATGGTTTGGGATCACCATAAATCAAATATTCTTACAAATGCCTAATTGATAAAAGTATCTCTCCATTAATTAAGCAAATATCATATTCATATCACTAACTGATAAGATATTCCCTTATTTGAGTATCCAAATCTCAAGTTTAATAATAAAAATTAAACACCTATTTAAGAGGTACAAACAGGTATCACTCTAGTCCTAACTCATATTCTACCTCCTAGACCCTGTCTAATTTGAGGGTCAGAGTCTCTTTGCAGGTGTCTCCACCGCTAATGTTAAATAGCTAAGGCCATCATCCCTAGAAGTGTAAGTGTTAGTTGTTCAATAGATGCATTCACTTTCATAGAAAATGAATAGATGACTCCATTAATAGACATAATAAGTTAAGAGTATAAAAGAAAATTATCAATTAAATTAAATATTAATACATTTAAAAGTAATAGTACTAATTAGTAACAAAATAAGACTCTCTTTTCTTAAAGTTCCCTGGCATTTGACACTACAGTTGTGAAGTTCACAACATCGACAGGGAACAGTAATTGATGGCTGCACCTGCACCCCCCATCCAAGTTCAGCATGTCCTATGTCCTACTATTATTTTACCCTATCATCCTACAATATTCTAAGCACAAATCCAATGTCATAACAGACATACTCCGTATTTCATAATTCATAGAATTCAATTTGTAGACACAAAAACGGTACACTACACTCACTCACCTTTTCAAGGGAAAGTGCAGTGCCAAGATCCAGCTTGATGCCATCATTGATAACCTCCTTGTACCTCAACACCAAGTCTTGGTTATTCTTCACAATGGCCTCAGCGATTTCCCTGCTTTTCTTCAACACTTCACTGTCGTCAACCACATGGTTCACGAAACCCAATTTTTCTGCTACCTCCGCAGTCAAAGGCGTGGCCGTGAGAGACACCTCACGGGCTTTATTCACCCCTATGATGCGCGAAAGCTTCTGAGACAAGCCCCACGAAGGAAATATCCCAAACCTGCAACAATAACATGGAATTAACCTAATAAACTTTAGTTTGACCACATTTTCAGTCGATGTGGGATTTCGAACCTGGCATGAGTATCCATGAACTTAGATCCCTTGGAAGCAACTAAAATATCGCAGGCGAGGGCGATTTCGAATCCCGCAGTGACGGCGAATCCTTTAATGGCTCCGATTATCGGTTTGCGGCAACGCTCCATTTGCACGACCGGGTCGCTCTCCGGGTCCTTCACGTCGCCCTTGAAGACGTCCTCTGCGGCGGTGAGATCCACGCCCGAACAGAACGAGCGGCCCGACCCGGTTAGTATGATGGCCCGCACCGATTCGTCCCGGTCCAGTCTCTTGAAGGCCTGGGCCAGGTCCACCATCATGGGCCGGGTGAGCGAGTTGAGAGAAGCGGGCCGATTAATGGTGACCAGAGCGACGCCGTTTGGGTCGCGGCTCACGAGTATGAGATTCTCCGGCGATTGGCGATCCATGTTTGAGGCGAATCGATCTTGCGTGTTCGGTGGCTATTGCATTGATACAGTATGAAATGGGCTTAAGAGGGAGGAGGAGGGTCGTTTTCTGAGGATGGAGTCTCGAAGTGCGTGACGCAAGTTTCAACTTTCAAGCCTCAAACGCAATCACGGTGTCAATACTGTATCATCATTTTTTTAACATTATACCTTCAACTTTTGTCAATTAATCATGAATGTGATTTTTGTTTAAATTAATTATAATAATTTTTCTATCAAAATATTATATGAATGGATTAGTTCTAATTTTATATTTTTAAAATTTAAATATATTATTAATTTTTAAAATTTAAGATAAATTTATTTTTATTCTTTAAATTTAAAATATTTATTTTTAATTTCTATAATTTTTTTAAAAAAATTATATTTAACGTCACCAATAATATATTTAAAAATAATACATTAAAACAGTTATATAATATAAATTAGATTTAATATAATGTTTTTAATAATATAATATCAATTTTTTTGATAAAATTTGGGTATAAAAATTAAAATATTTTTTTAAAATTACAAAGACTAAAAAAATTAATTTTAAATTTAAAAGATTAAAAATAAATTTATCTTAGATTTAAAAGATAAAAATATATTTAAATTTTATTTTTATTAGTTAAGTTAATTGTTATTATTTTATTAAAATTAGTAGGTATTGATTATTATTTTTAGTAATTTCATAATTAATCTTATTTATATTATTTATTTATTATTTTATTACATGAAAACTTAAACAATATAGTCTATGGAGAGAATGAGAATAGGTAATAATGAAACTTGGTAAAAAAAAATTAAAAGATGGTAGAAATGTAATAATGAGGAATACACCAACATAACAATCACCTGCAAATGAGTGAAACAACGATTTTAAGGGACAATAATAATTTTTATTAGGTCCCACAACATTTAAATCAGGTGCCAATTAATTATGGTCTAAATTTCAATATTATTTCTTAATATAAATAATGTTGATTTTAAGTTTATTTATTGTATAACTATTGAAAAAATTAAGTAAAAGGTAATTATGATTTATAATTGAATGTTTACAAAACATCATATATGGAGACATGTTATCTGAAACTATGTGCGTAATTGACACATGTTCTTCAAACTTTGAAAATCGGTATAAATTTAACATGTGTTATATGAACTTGTGCTTAGATTCATAATTGTATTTATAATAATTATATGAATTTCTAAACCATATAGTTTATAATTAAATTATTATCGGTAACAATGAAACCTGGGGAAATTAAATTAAAAAATTAAAAAATTAAAAATGGTAAAATAGAAACGTTAGGTTAGAGAGAGAAATACACCAAAAACAAACATAAAGTTCTCTTCTATATTGGAAAAAAAAACATATTTTCTCCCAAAATATAAATAAATTGTAATTATTTTTATCTTATCTAATAATATTTTTTAAATACCTCTCTTTTAATATATAATATTTCAGTTGTGTTACTTTTTTTTTTTTTTTACATTTACGACAAGAACAATTTAAAAAGAATATTATGTAATTAATAAAATTTAATGTAAATTACTAATTTTGTTTATATTTGTGAAATTGAAATTTTCTTTTTCTTATAAGAGAACGTAGAGAGCAACAATCAAGAACAAAATTTAAGTATAATTTTTAATATGTAATTAGTGTTGTTCTTCATTTAAAATTAGAGTTTATATATTTACATTTAATATAAAATTTATTAGTATACATTTATATATATTATCAAAATAAAATTTTAATTCTAATTGAAATATAATATCAACTACACTTAAAGACAATGTATCTAAATTTTATCTAAAGTTCAATTAATTGTAATGAGGTGAAATAACAATTTTAAGAACAAAGATGAATTTTAATAAGATTCACATCAATAAAAATATAATTATGATCTAAATTTTAATGTTATTTGATCATTTCATTTATTAAATTATGATCAATAAAAATAAATATGATTTATAATTAAACATCATATATTAAAGTATGTTATTTAAGCTTTTTTGTATAACTATCCGTGTGTTTCAAATCGAAAACCATTGTGAATTTGACGAAAGTTATACTAACTTGTATTTGGATTCCTAAATATATTTATAATAATATATAACGATAAGAATTTGGGCATTAGATCCAAACATTTGCCTTTAGAAAGGTAAACACATTTTAAAAAAATTTAGTATTTTAATTTGTGTATTTTATCTGCTAAATATTTATTATATATAATTAAAATTTATAATAAATCATATATATAAATAAGTAATATATTTAAATATATAAATTATATTTAAATTTATATAAATAAATATTTTATTATTTGTATTTATTAATAATTGATGAAACAAGTTCAGCAACGGGTGCACCGCACTGCATCAATTTCACCCAAGCCCAGCCTCAATTTCAAACGCCCAAAGCCCCACTCGTATTAACAACCCCTTATCCTCAACACCAGACTCGAATACATCAAAATATTTTTATATTTTAAATTTATATAAATAAATATTTTTAAATATATAAATTATATTTTAGATTTAAGATAAATAACTTATATTGTAACACACAATTATTTTTAATTATTGATAATTTATTTTTAAAAAAATATTAAAATTTAATTCATAAATAAATATGATAACTAAAAAAAAATGATTTTATAGATGACTAAATTTTAGTTTATTATTTAACAAAAGTGCATTAAGTTTAACTCAAAATATTAGACATAATAAATTTATTTATTTATCTTTCTAATTTAATTTTTTCCTCTTTAAGTTTAAGTACGTAGTATTTAAATTTCCATTAAAATATGTTTTTCATTATTTATCAAACAATTGTTTTTATTATTTTTATTTATTATTAATTTAAATATTCATTTTAATCATTTTTTTTACTTTATCAGATTATGAAATTGTCCTAATAAATTCATCTCCTCGAAATTATGAAACATAAATAAATAATGTTTTTAATAAATCTATTATGAGTTGTACTACCATATTATAATCTTATAAAAGTGACTTACTTTTCAATTCTTAATTTTTTAATCAGTACTTACATATTTTATTTTAATTATTTATAAGCCAATAAAAAATGTAAAACCTTAAAATAATACTGTAAACATATGTCGCAGATGTAAGTATGTAATGTAGCTTTACACTCCTCCATTCTTCGTGAATGGGTAGACAGATAGCATGTGGGTGGATGACTTTTGAGCATGGTGGCTTGAGATATCAGTAAAATCTTTCATCGTATCGGGACATAGCGTTTAATAGTTTATCAAATCCCATTATGTTTTCTAAGCTTGAGGTTTGAGGCACATTACCATTCCCTAGAAGCATGGACATCGTACCAAATCAAATTAACCAAATTGCCGATTCTTTCTTACTATGATGTTTTGTGTCATGAAAATTGAACCTGAGACTCATGATTCTCGTTAACTACTAATTTTTGGCTGACTATATATATAAAACATGTGTTTCATAAAGTTTGTACTAAAGCCTTTCGTACATTAGATTTAGCATGACAAACTAAAAAACCACTCCAATCCGGTTCAATTGTTATGGACATCTATCAATATATTATTTCCCGTGAGAAAGAGGTTAAGATTGAAAGAGTCCGCGAATGTTGACCGGAAAAATATCGTTGGAACCACCGTCTAAGAGTCGCTTAGCGATGATAACATTTACAGCATCAGAAGGATGGTAAGGGTCCCAGAACACATATTTGGATCGGTCCCAGCAAACTCTCGATGTGGGACTACAGGGGATCAAACCTCCGAATCGCCCGGCCACGTGACAGCAAGCGGAAGACGGGTTATCAAAACCTGCCACACGTGTGATTAAATCAAAAAAACACCTTGCGAATTCAAGGTTCTAACAGATTAATAGCCAAACCAAATAGACTCGTACCAAGTACTACATAGTTCAGGAGAATGTCTTCTAAAATTCGGTAGACATCTGCATAAACAAACATTGAACCCTCCAGATTTGAGTTGAGTTCTGCAATAAGACCCTTTAACTGTGTGTTGAAAAGCTGTGCTAGCTGATTAGGGAAAACAACACAGCTATCTCCTGCACCTGGGTTTGCATCTCTCTGACTTGGTATACACCCAATAGGCCCTACATTTGCCACAACAATTTTTCTAGCTCCTAGGTTGAATAACCTCTGCATGCAGCACAAATATTAATAACATTATATACGTAACACCAAAATATGTTGCAGATTAGAAACAAGGATTATATATCATATATATATTACAGTGAGCTGAAGTCTGAGTTTTGATATCATGGTGGTGACAAAGAATTCAGGTGACGCGGCCTTCTGATCCGAAAATGTGAGTGATGGTGTTAAGTAGTTGTTTATGAAATCGTTTGAGCCAATGGTCACGGAAAACAATGACCTTTTGAATAGATTAAGAGCCGCTGGAACGCCAATGCTGCCTATGATGTCTTGTCTGGTATTTGCAAAATTATCTATCTGTGCATCAAAGTTGAGTCTTCCACCCTATTAATCCCATCACAACAACATGCATGCATATGGTTAATTATCATTCCATTAATATGAAACACAATATGGTTTGGTTCAGTCTAGTGTAGTGGTATAGGAGATTAAAATTAAGATAAATACATGTTTTGTAAATTTTTTATTAATAAAAAAATTAATTGAAGCCGAAACTCACAAAGACTTTTCCAGTGAGATTAAGAATTCCACCTCCACCAGAGGCATAATTAACACCCTTCAGAATCACTGGCCCAACTGTGGTGGGTGCCAAATAAGGTGGGGTGAAACCGATACCTAATTCCTCACCTGGTGGAGAAAGAAAAACTCATCAGACAAAAAAATAAAAATAAAAATAAAAATAACTATTAAGGAAATAAGGTGGTAAATCTTGCCAACGATGTCGACAATGGTTCTTCCATTAGTGAACCTCCCCGTTGGTCTTCCAAAATCAATGCCATTGGGTAAATAATTAGCCTTTGAGAGGGAAACAAGATAGTTATTGTTTCCAGCATCAACAAGGGAATCTCCGAATACAAAATTTGCAGGGACATCGTCTGAGGTTGAAAAAATGGTGAACAAGACCAAGACTACGGAAACTCGAAGCAGAATCGTAACAATGATGAACCTGTTCAAATGGATACCCATTAGAATGAGTTAAAGAGTACAACAATTTATGACTGCTAAAATGTACCAAAACACAATGAGCTTTATAGTGCGTCCAAGACAATGGCACTAGCTAATAATAATTAATAATGGAATTTTATAATAACAAATCATGTGAGGGCATAATGTCATGCAGTGAGCCAACATTAATTGCTCTGCCTATAATGCTACAGTGCCTTAACTGTTTGGTTGGAGGGAATAAATGGATTCAAATACAGAAAAAAGCTGTTCACCGATAATGTATGGTGATCCAATCGCGACTTTAGTCTTCCTGAATTTGTTTATTTTAATAATAATAATTTTAAAAATTATATTAACAGTAACTTTTTTATTGATAGATAATATAAAAAGTTTTATATGAATACTGTGTGATCATTAGATCTGTCAAAATAAAATAAAATAGATGCTAGAATAATAAATTTCTTTCTTCTTTTTTTTCTGGGAGGGTGTGATGGAAAAAAAAATACACTCATTCAAAATTTTAAAAATTAAAATTATGATAATAAAAAATGCATATATTTCACCATTAAAGTTCCAGAATAGCCAACTAGCCATATTTCACTAGACAAATCATTAATTAGCATTACGCCTAGCTTTCCCTCAATTAATTAATTGTTCACGAAGTTCAAGCATATTCATCCAACATTTGCTTCAGTATCTGAGATTTTTCATCCAGTTAATATGTAATAAAAAGTTAAATATACACTATTTTTTTTATTAAAAAAGAATGTATTTATTGTTTTAATATATAAAATATTTATGTTTAGATTTAAGAAAAAGATTCTATAAATTTTTTTATACACTATAAGTTTATTGACTTTTACATTAACTTCTTTAAAATATATATATATATATATATATATATATATATATATATATATAATAA